ACCCTTAGCCAAGCTCCGACGATGCAAAAGCCACGCCCGGGTGAAATGCTCTATTTGTACCTGGGGATTTCCGAGGTGGCCGTGAGTGCCGCCCTGATTCGGGAAGACGACTCGGGCCAGTTCCCGATCTACTACGTGAGCAAGGCTCTCCACGACGCCGAGCTGAGATACCTGCCGATGGAGAAACTTGCCTTCGCCTTGGTGACCGCAGCTCGGAAACTCAGACTGTACTTCCTGGAGTACTCAATCACCGTCCTCACGGCCTACCCGCTCAGGCAAATCCTACATCGACCCGACACTTCGGTCCGAATGGTCAAATGAGCAGTGGAGCTGGGACAGTACGATATCCAGTACCGACCCCGAACAGCAATGAAGGGGCAGGTACTATCGGACTTCATAGCCGAGTTTACGCCGGGAGTCGAGGAAACGAAGGGCGAAGAACCCTGGGTGATGTACGTGGATGGGTCCTCCACTGCCGGACGAGCGGGCGGAGGGGTCGTCCTCGTAGATCCTCAAAAAAGGCTGTTCTGTCATTCGATTCAATACCTCTTCCCGGCAACCAACAACGAAGCCGAATACGAGTCATTGCTATCCGGGCTCGATCTAGCCGAAGCCATGAGCCTGACCGATCTCGTCATATACTCCGACTCCATGTTGATGGTCAAACAAATTTCCGGAGAGTTCGAGGTCAAAGAGCCAAGGCTGGTCCCCTATTTGGGACTAGTAAAAAAGAAATTAGCCAAGCTCCGGACCCGAATAGAACATATCCCGCGAACGGAGAACGTACAAGCCGACGCCTTAGCCCGCCTCGCCTCAAGTGCCAGGGTGGAGAGCGTCGACTACGTGCAGGTCGCTCACAAGGAACAACCCTCCGTGCTCGGCACCTCCGTAATGAGCGCCGACCAGACCGTTGCTGGCGAACAACCGAACTGGATGGTCCCGATCCGGTCGTATCTTGAGACCGGTGCGTTGCCGTCTGACCCAAAAGAGGCCAGACAGCTCCGCACCCGGGCAGCTCGATTTACGATCGTGGCCGGCGAATTATTCAAGAGAGGGTACTCGGCACCCTTGCTCAAGTGCGTGGACGAGAAGAACGCCGAATACATCCTCAAGGAAGTCCACGAAGGCGTGTGCGGAAACCACTCCGGCGGCTACGCCCTCGCTCACAAAGTTCTCAGGCAAGGGTATTACTGGCCCAGCCTGAAAAAGGACGCCCTGGATATGGCTCGAAGATGCACGAGATGCCAAACATTCGCGCCAAACATCATCCAACCTTCGCAACCCTTGAAGTCGATATTTAGCCCGTGGCCGTTCGCAAAATGGGGCGTCGATCTGATCGGCCCCCTACCCACCGGAAAAGGCGGGGTAAAATACGCGGTCGTCGCCGTAGACTACTTCACAAAGTGGGCAGAAGCTGAACCCCTCGCCACTATCACCGAGCAGAAAATGATCGACTTCCTATGGAAATCCATCATATGCCGCTTTGGGGTGTCGAACTCCATAATCACCGACAACGGGAGACAGTTCGAGGGGAAGAAGCTAGAGGCCTTTTGCGAAGAACACAACATCAAACATTTCTTCTCGACACCTTACCACCCCAGTCCAATGGCCAAGTGGAAGCAGTGAACAAAATCATCAAGCACGGGCTCAAGGTCCGCCTCGAAGCCGCGAAAGGGGCCTGGCCGGAAGAACTCCCGAATGTGCTCTGGTCATATCGCACAACGACGAGATCATCTACGGGAGAAACGCCGTTCTCCTTGGCTTACGGGTTCGAAGCAATGGTACTTGTTGAGCTCGGCGCCCCAACTTTTCGAGTAGCCAACTTCGAGGAGGAATCCAATTCCGAGTCGTTAAGAGCAAATCTCGACCTGATAGATGAGCGTCGGACACAAGCCGAGCTCAGAAACGCGGCATACAAGAGACGAAGTGAGAGATACATTAATTCTCAAGTCAAGTCCCGCTCCTACCAGGTCGGCGACTTGGTGCTAAAAAGGGTAACGGGGCCTGACCCCGGACCGCTAAAACCAAAGTGGGAAGGGCCCTACAAAATCAGCGAGATCCTCCCACACGGGGCCTACCGTCTCGAACACCTGGACGGCACCCCCCACCAATACCCGTGGAATTCGGCCTTTTTGAAAAAGTTTTACCAATAGGTCTAGGACGACGTTGTAGTTCCCCTTTTGTAATTTTACTATGTAAAAACAGATGAAGCTTGTAAAAATTTATGTTTTCTATTCCTTACTTTGTCGTTTTATCCCTGCCTTAAGTATAGATTGAGTCGAAGCGGCGTAATTAATGTAAGAAACGAAGTGTCGGCCCGGATCAGCACGATGACCAGGTCGACACTAGCTGGACTCAACTAGGAAGTCCAGTCAGGCCAATAATACCACCGAGTCCAAACGCGAGACCGGTTCGGTAAGCTGCCACATAATTATGTGCAGGTCGGGTCAGTACGATGACTCGGCCGGCACGAGCCGGGCTCGTCAAAGTAGCCCGGTAAAGCCGTTGCGCCAATGTAAGGAATGAAAAATTCAAAGCAAAAATAAGGTGCCGAGCCCAGTACCAGGCTCAGTACCAGACTCGGCCAAGTAAATATGGATAAATATGCAAAACGGCACCAAGCCTAAACTTGCAAATACTCATCCGCAAAAAACATATTCACACAACACAAATATCAATAAGTACGCCGTACGACACCGAGCCCATTCGGAACATTCGAGTTTTTGAAAAACGGCTAAGTAAATAGAACATTAAGAATTCATTCAAAACAAACAAATGATAGTATCCATCCAAAACACAAAAAGCATTCATAATTCAAGTTTTTAAAGCGGCTCGCAGGCCCAAAAAAACAAACGAAGCAAAAAATTAAACCTTAAAAAGGCCATAGGCGGCCGAAAAAACCGCAGCACGCAGGCCGGAGAATCTTCAGGGAGCGGCCTCGGCGTCTACCTCCACGACCTCGACCTCGGCCCCTGCCGCGGCCGTATCCTCGACCTCCACCTCTTTCACCCCAGAAGTGCCGATCCCCACCTCGGCGTCCTCCGCTGCCTTCGCCTTCGCCGCAGCCGCAGCTTTCTCCGCCTCTTCCATGTCGGCGATTACGGACAGGACGACCCCACGCCTCGGCCGGGGCTCAAGCTCGGGTTCGGGAGCGAACGGCTTATATGCCGGCAGAACCTCCCCAGGGGCCAATTTCCATGTCTCCAGGGTCGGGACGGCGCCGAACTTCTCGAAGCCGACGATGATGTCATCATCCCAACCCCAGAGCCTCCGGACCACCGCGGCTTCGTCGGGGTCGACCTCGCAAACCTGGCCTTCGAAGTCCAGGTCGTGCCGACCCGCCTTCTCGGCGAGGATAGCCCGGAAATCATCGAGGGACAGCACCCCGGCATCCAGCCTCTGGAACAGCCAGTAGAGGTTGAAGGCCGCCGCCATATCCATGCTCTCGCTCATCTCTTCAAAATACTGAGCCTGGACCTCGGCGAAGGTTGCCGGTGGAGGGAGAGCAATGGGCTCGCCATCGATTTGCTTGGCGGCCTTCTTCAAAAGAGTGAGCTGGGAGGTCAGCCTATTTCCGAAGCTCACCAGCCCGGCGACCTCCCCTTCGTGCTTCTTCTTAAGCTCGGCCATCTCGGCGGCATGCAGCTCAGCGAGGTGGGCGAGGTCGGCTTTGTGCCTCTCCTCCAGCCCGTGCACCTCGTCGGCGCGGCGCTTCTCACTCTCCGAGAGCTCCACCGCCCGCTTCATCTCCGCTTCTTCCATCTTCTGGGCCCACGCCGCCCTCTCGCGAGCTAAATCTTCGGTGGCCTTAGCAGCCGCCCTCTCCGCCACGGCGGCAGCTCCGCGTTGGAGGACCAGCTCGTTCTCCAGGGACGAGATCCTCCTGATCTCGTCCTTCAGCTCGCTGATCCGACCTTTGGAGGTGGCCAGGTCCTCCTCTGCCTTGTCGCGGGCGTCGACCTCCGTCTGCATGGCCACGGCGGCGTGAATCAGCTCAACCATGGACCGGCCCATGGACGCCACTGAATGATGGATGAGTTGCGTCGGCGAAAGCATGGTCACGGCCGTCTCGGCGGTTGGCGTCCAGGAAGCCATCACGGCCTGTGCCGCAGACATCACCTCCCCTGGCAGATAGTAGGGGTTGGGCAGGTCGAGCGGAACTGCCGCCGTCGAATCGATAAACCATTGGTCCGGGAACTGCTCAAGGCTCTTGGAGAGGCTAGCCTTGAGGCTCGGATCCACCGGTATGTAAGACGAGGAGCCGGCCTGGTGGACGAAGGCCGACCTCTCATGCGCGGTGGCGGCTCCCGGAACCTCTGAAACTTTCTTCCTCTTCGGAGACGGCGGGAAGTTGCCCACCACCTCGGCATCACCCTCCGCGGGCTCCTCCGGCTCCTCTGCAAGGACCCGGCGCTTCCTCTGACGAGCCGGCCCGCCCTGATTGGCCGCACCTCGGCCATGACCGGCGCCGGTCTCGGGGGCACTAGACCGGCCCCTTCTCCCGCCCGCGGGAACGGGTGCGGGGACAGTCGGAGCCGAGCTGGCAGCCACAGCGGCCTCCCGGGAAGTCGCGGCTTTAGAGGCCGGTTTCGGCGGGGCAGGGTCCGAGGTCCCCGCCGAACTCGACGCCGAGGTCTTCTTCTTCGACTGCCTTGTCAGGAAGTCCATACGGCTGGCCATCTTTCGATCTTTTAGGGAGCTCGGATGCGCGCGCGCGTACTTGTTCGCCTCCTTCACCGAACCAAACCCACACTCACGGTGGAGGGGATAGTACACTGTCGAACGATAACAAAATGCAAGGGTGAGAATAAACGTAAAGGTACTCATACGTGGGAATGAGAAGTGAAGGAGAAGTACCGGGTTCGAAGTGCTTGCTGTTGTATTCGGGACAAAGGTCGTGCTGAATCAAGCTCTCCTCCGCAACAAGATCTCGGTAGTTGCGTTTCTCCGCGGCAAGTCCGAGCAGAGTTTCAACCTTCGCAACCAACTCGTCGCTCGGTTCAACGCGAGGATTGTGGACTGAAAGGCAAACACCGACCTGTTAGCATAGAAAAACCGTAAATCAGAAGGGTGAAAGCAGGATAAATAAAACACTTACAAGGGCCGAAAATAAATTCGGTGGAAGGGTGCCGAGTCGCGTTGGGCGTCCTCCATTCACCACCAACCCAGAACCACTCCGGCATATAGCCGTGCAACGATTCCGGGACCTTGTGGATCAACGATTTGTCCACGCCCGGGGCGACGGAGTTGTAGTAATTGCCGGTCTCCCCGGACTTCTTGAAGACAAACAGAGATCTCACGTCGGCACTTGTGGGATCCGGCCAGCCCTGCTGGCGAAACAGGACGAGAAGGCCGACGAGCCGAGCAAAGACCGTCGGAACGAGCTGGCTAATGCCGATGCCGAGGTGACTAAGGATGTCATTCAAAGCTCCAGGTAGCGGAAATCGGAGGCCGAGCAAGATACTCGACCGATAAACGCCGATGCAACCCGGCGGCGGACAGTGTATACGCTCGCCCGCATAAGGGGCGAAAATTCTCACCCCGGCGCCAAAGCTGGCCTTGCCCCTCAGCTTGGCCAGATCGAGATCCGTCAGCACCGAGGGGGTCGTCCACGCAGTAGCCGTGGCGGTAGAAGGCCACACCCGCGGAGGGCGGCACCAACATCCCAGAGGAGCCGTGGTGGCGGCTTCGACTGCGGCGTCAGTTTCGGCATCCTCGCGCGCCATGGGGACACGCTCTCGCCAATAGGTATCTCCTCGAAGCGTCTCTTCGACCAGTTCGGCGTCCACATCAGATTCGACAGGAGAAGGGGCGCCGGCCTCCTTCTCTGCTTCCTCGGAGTCGGACTGACCCGACCCGAGGTCAATTATCTCGATTGTGGGAAAGTCCGAGGGCTCCCCACGGCGCGCGTCTGTAGCCGCCGCTGCCGGCGTCACGCGGACGGCAGAGATCGGGGTTACTCTGAGCGGTTGCATCGCCCCGACCGTCGGCGGGGAGTAAACGACCAACTCCCCAGTTTCTTCCGCCGTGAAGCAGCCATCTCCGGCAGGGAGGTTCGCCGCATAATCGGAGGAACTCGACATAATCGAAAGGAAAACAGAAAGGAAAGGAGGATTTTTGGAAAAAACGAAATTACCGGTACGAGAAGCGCCGAAAAGACTCGAAAAAATCTCGAAATTAGCCTTGGAACCCTTGCTGGAAAACCTGGTTGCTCGGAAGTTCGATTGCTCAGAAATCTCGGAAAACTCGTAAAAGCTTCTTGGGGAAGACGGTAGATGTATATATATAAACCTAGGGCCAATCATAGCGTTACACGTGGCGCAACGTTTGAAATTCAAAATCAGTGATATGATCCAACGGTTGGGAGCGAAACGATCCAACGGTTCGTAAACGGCCGCGTGAAAGCCACGCGCCACAAAAGTCACCGTTCTGAATGTCCACTAAATCTTTCAATTTGCTTTGCTGAGTTGTTTTGCATTTTTGAGTTCCATTCCAAAAGAGCTAATCTTGTGTCTCTGAGCTTATTCTGAATGTCCACTAAATCTTTAGGTCTCTCCTGATCCTTCCAGATTGTATCAATAACCTCTTTGTAGCCCTCTTTGGTTTGCCACCTTGCATCATAGGTAAATCTTTTTTTTCCTTTCTTCTTGCTGGGATCTGTTTGCATCAGTAGTAAACAATGGTCCGAGGATATTAAATGAATATGCCTAATGTTGACATCCGAGTTCGCCGATAAGACCGAACCGGACAGCACAATTCCGAGAGCCGAACCGAAGGTCCGGTCCACTCAGAAAATGCCGAGCTGAACCGGAATGTTTTATGACCCAAACGTCCCCATGAGTCCGTCTGCCAGCCCGGCGTTTTGCGGCTACGAAACCCCGGTGCCGACCTGGAGAGTGACGGTCTGGAAGAAAGGTTCCCCAAGGTCGGAAGAGCAAGAAAAGAAAAGGTGCCGACCTGGAGTCCCAGGACGGGCTACTGTAATGAAGGTGTCGACCTCGATAGTATTATAATAATGCCACTTGGAGGGTAATCATTGGCTAATGGATGGGACGTCCTAGCCTGTTGACCTATTCCCCCCAGCCAAGACATAAAGTCTGTCAGCATTAAATGCCCGTCAGACAATGATGAGGAAAACCTCAAATCGCATTAAATTCTGTCAGGGAGGCGCCGAACTACTCTGCCAGAAACACTGTACGACAGGACTGATGAACAGTACCTGAACAGTGCCACATTTAAGGCAACTATAAATAGCAGCCCACTTCATTTATTTTGGGTTGTTGAATCCCAACTGTAAAAACTATCTCTCTCTACTTTCTCTCTCTAGAACTCGTGTGATTATTCTGTAACAATTTGTAAGGATATTACAAGTGCCGACCTCGTACGAGAGGCCGACCTCGTGATCTATCAATAAAACTGCAATTAAACCGTATTTCCTTATCTTTTCCTTATTCTCTTCTCATTATTCAATCTTTTTAACCGTTGACCGGAAACGCCCGTCAACACCTAACACTAGACATGAGGAAGGTTAAGAGCCAACCAGGTGAGAAAAATATCCTATCTAACCTCTCTTCCACAAACCCTTCCCCTTGCCTATTGTTTGCCCAAGTAAAGGGATACCCTTGGAAGCTCCCATCTTTCATGCCCATAAGGCTGACAAAGTTTCTAAACCCTAAAAAGCTGATATCCTCTCTCTTTTTACCCCCTTTTTTTTTCAGAATGGAACAAAAGATCATTAAAATCCCCCCCAAAAACCAGCAATCCCCCCAAAGCATGTTGTGTCTGATTAAAGTTTGCCATTGGCTTTTCCTAACAGACTTATCAGTACTCAAATAGACAAAAACCCCCCAAAATTTAGCATTGGTACCAGGATAAAGAAAACACACTTCTATACAAAAGTCACTGCACAGAAGGGTTTATTGCACGAAATCCCCCTGTATTATATGAAATCTGCGCGTTTTTCCCTAGTATTTTAAAAATTGCGTCAAACCCCCTCGTATTTCATATTTGCATGCACACTCGCTATTTCCAATTAACGCCGTTACTTTAAAGCTGACGGCGTTACTTTTTCATTGAATTTACCTTTATACCCTTACTTTAACATTGAATTTACTATTTTACCCTTAATGTTAATATATTGACCTAAAAGAAAAATGCCAATGGTGGGGATTGAACCCACCACCTTTAGGTTATAAAAGACAACTCTTACCAATTGGGCTACTATTCACTTAGTTATAAATGTAATTTTATCTATATATATCACACAGTATAGCGGAAATATCATATAATTAAGTATATAGATTCTAAATTATAAATGTCATTATAATTAATTATATAGATTCTAAATTATGAATAATATAATAATTAATTATATAGATTCTATATAATGTAATAATTAGGTATATAGACTCTAAGTTATAAATAATATAACCATTAAGTATATAGATTATAAATTATAAATAATGCAATAATTAAGTAAATATTTTCTAATTTATAAATAATATAATAATTAAATAAATATATTCTAAATTAAAATAATATAATAATTCGTTATATATATAAATAATACAACGATGAAATAAATATATTTTAAATTATAAATAATATAATGATTGAATAAATAGATTATAAATTCAAAATAAAATAATTATTAAATAAATATAAATATATAATAAGTAATATATTGATTCAGTAAATATAATATAAAATATAAATGATATAATAATTAATAAAATATATTATAAATTCTAAATAATATAATAAGTAAATGAATAAATTTCAAAATAATGAATAAATAGATTCTAAAGTATAAATAATATAATAATTGAATAAATTATATTCTAAAGTATAATGATAATTATAAATCATAAATAATATAGTAATTCAGTATATAGATTTTATGATAATTGAATGAATAGATTCTAAAATAGAAATAATATAAATAATTAACTAAGTATGTTCTAAATTATAAATAATATAATGATAATTATAACTTATGAGTAATATAACAATTCACTATATATTTTTTTATAATAATTGAGTAAATAGATTCTAAATTATAAATAATATATTCTAACCTATTTACTCAATTATTATAAAACAAATTATTGAATTAATATATTACTTATAGTTTATAATTATAATTATATCTCATAAAAAAGGATACTTGATATTTTAATTAATAGTGTTTTACATAATGAATAGTATTTTTTATTTATTATACATTTACCTGAATTTAAAATAAACATAATGAATAAACAATAAGTACTTAAATTATTTATTACAAATTCAAAAATAATAATTTTATTGAAAAAATTAAATATATATATTTGTCGAACATTTAAAAATAATAATACAATATAACAACTAAATAAAAAAATAAATACAAATCATATGTAGCTATTGCATAGAAAATATTTTATTTACAAATTACTACTTTCATAATATATTATATATAGAAGTATAATTTTATTTTATTATAAATAAATTTAATTTAATTTTATTTTATTTTATTTATTTTTATTATATTAATTCAATATAAAAATGTATATTTAAATTTAATTTTATAATTTATTTCATATTTATATTTTTTAATTTTTTATATGAATTTATCTTTTTGTTTTTATATTAAATAGTAGTATAATTATATATTATTTTCAAATTTTACATTAAATTTTATTCAATTTAATTTTTATTTTATTTTATTTTTATTATATTTTCTTATATTACATTATTTAGTGTTTATTTTATTTTTTAATTTTTGTTTGATTAAGTTTTCCACTGTTCGTGTTGTTTAAATGAATCTGTGTTAAATATGTATCATTGAATGATGGTGGCCAAGTGGTTTGAAGTCTTGTCTATTAATGTTTTGGCCCAGGTTCGAATCCTAGGAGCAGCAAAACATTTTGTCCATCAATTGGTAGAAAAACAAGGAGCAAAATAGTAAATTTCAATTTTAAAATAAAAATAAATGAAAAAAATAAATAATTATCGCAATACATGTATGTGTGTTACACGTGTTTTGCCCATCAATTGGTAGAAAAACAAGGAGCAAAATAGTAAATTTCAATTTTAAAATAAAAATAAATGAAAAAAATAAATAATTATCGCAATACATGTATGTGTGTTACACGCGCCGTCAAGTTGGACGGAGAGGGGGGTATCGTGCAACAGTTACTTAATACAATTTTTAAAATACCAGGGGAAAACGTGCAGATTTCATATAATACAGGGGGATTACGTGCAATAAACCCAGTGCAGATTTCATATAATACATGGGGATTACGTGCAATAAACCCCTGCACAGAATATCTATAATAGTAATAGAATTATCCCAATACAAAAAGAGACCACCCGCGCAGATTTCATATAATACAGGGGGATTTCGTGCAATAAACCCCTGCACAGAATATCTATAATAGTAATATAATTATCCCAATACAAAAAGAGACTACCTTTAAGCCCTACTGGCTCAACTGAAATCCACCTATCTTCAAATTTTAACTTTTTACAAACAGTTTTTATAAAATTATTTTTCTTTTTGTTTAAGAGAGAAACACAAAATGAGGGAGGTGAGTTCTTAGAATCTCTTTGATTTGGGAAATTGTAGAGGGCCCTCCCAGACCTCTACAATTCCACACCGAAACTTTCATTTGGAAACTTGGGACCATTTATGGCTGATTTCCTCCACCATTTGATTATCCAGATTAAGACTTTTCTCACAAAAATTGTGTTTTTGCTTTTTAGCATTTTCAGCTTCAGAGGATAAGTGATCACAAACATCTTCCAAAAGACCTCTTTTTATTCTCGTTCAGTGCAACCTGAGTTTCTAAGCTGTTTTTATGACTCCCAGAAACAGAGCCTTTCCTTTTATAAAAAATAACTGGTTTTTTCAAAGCCAATTTCTTTCTCTCACCTGTCTGATTTAAATCGTTAATAATACTTTTAGTAGCCTTTTGAACAGGAACATGCACCAAATTATCTAAACACATAAGGTCAGCATCTTTGTTTTTATTAATAGCCAAATTCTCTTCCCCCACTCTAGAATTAGTCAAAGTAAACATTTGGGAGGCACTCTCAGAACCCACACTCCCACTCTTCACTGACTCAGCAGACTTATCTCCATTATTCAATGGTAGCTTATTCTCCTCAGTATTTGAGGGCTCAAACCTAACTTTCCTCACATGGGTAGGATGACTCTCTCGTTCCTCAGCTGGAGGAACAGAAGGGGAACTGAGTCCCCTCTGTCCTTCAGCGCTGAGGCCCAGATCACCTTTCTCACTACTACTAACACTTCTACCCCCAAATACCCAAACACTGGAGCTCTTAACCATTCACTAAATTGTCCCATAGTTACACTATTCGTTTTGAAATATTCCTTTTTATGACTATCATAAAATTGGGAATACAGTTTGACATCATTTTCTCTGTCTCCTAAAATTGGGAATACAGCTTGACAATATTTTATGTCTCCTTTTTTTTGGATCTTTTTTAATTTGATGCCATATGCTAAAACTTAGCATTAGTCCCATCTATACGTTTGGACTTTGGTCCCATATTATAGTTTTGCAGACACCATATTTAATGCCACACTGCATATATATGATGTAGTATTATTTCATATTGATTTCCAAATAAAAGGATTTTGAAAATGTTGGCAAATAGTTAATGGTGAGTGAATGATAATTAAAATTTGTGTGGCTTAGTATGTAATGTAAATTTTTTTAGTTAATAATATGGGCAGTACTTTTTATTCGCATGTCAAAAGAAAAAACATGATTAACACTAGAAAATCATCAAATTTAATAAAAAATGTTTTGACAAAATTCTAATGGGTATTTCAATATTATTATAACTTTCAGAAAAATTTGGAACGGAAACTTTAACAATAATATTGCATTTGAATTTATGTTGGATTGTGACGATTCTAACATAAGTTTTTTTAATAGTTGGAACTATTGGTAGAATAAACTATTTCAATATAAATTGTATATTCCAACAAAAATTTCTACAATAATAACCGTTGAAAAGGGCGTCGGAATCATCAAACATTCAAATTTCAACAAGAATTTCTATGAAAAGTTAATTCCAACATAAATTATTACATTAGAAATTCTTTAAACTTTCTGTTGAAATACTTTTACTTTGGATTTTCCTTTTGTATTTCATAAATTTTTTAATCCTTATTGTCCAATAAAATAAAAATAATACTCCCTCCTATTTTTAATAAATGTCGTTTTGAAAAGTTGCACAATAATTAAGAATATTTTTTTTGCCAATAATAACCCTCATTAATGAGAATAGAGATTGATGTTTTGATAAAAGATGGAGAGTGAATATGAAAAGACATAGTGTATTTATTAGTTAGATGAGGGTAATAATGGAAAAATATGTACAAAATAGTCAAAACGACATTTATTTAACAAATGATCAATCATGCTAGGATGACAAATCTATACTTATATTAAAAGGTATACCATTTACCAGATTTAGTATAAAGAAAAGTCAACAACATTTATTGCATTACTATTTCCGTAATATAAAATCTATACTTATATAAAAGGAGATTTTATTTCCTACATTTACTATCCAGAAAAGTCAACTGCATTAAATGTCATTACTATTTTGGTATTATAATATTTTATTTATTTAATGGATTTATTTATTTGTTTTATTTTAAAAGGATAAGTATAATAAAAAGATTTAATAATAAAAAAATCAAATACCAAATAAAAATATACACTTTGACTTATTTGATTATATTTGGTATTTGATTATACCAAATATATTCCTATTTAGTATATACATTAAATACTTATTAAAGTATTTATTTATTTTATTTGTCAAAGTTAAGTATAGATTTGTTTATATTATCAAATCATAAAAAAATATTAAATCGATATTGTAAAAAAAAAATCATATAATTTTATAACAATTCTACTACACTATTTAACAATATTTTTTTTATTATATAATAAAATAATAATTAAATATTATATGGTGAACAACAATAAGTAAAACTGTTACTTTCTCTTATATCAAGGGATAAATTTATATGCTAAAATTAAATTTTTATTAGTATAAATGTTTTAGTGAGATAATATATTAATTATTTTACAAGCTAGCCCTAACATGCTCATATTTAATGTTTTAAAAGATGTAGAAAAAAAACTTATAATAACTCTATTGTTTTTTAGACTTAAACGTTGATTAAAAGAGGTAAAAATTCCTAATTTTTTAGACTTAAACGTTGATTAACACCATAGATTGAGAGTTTATATTTAGTAAAATTCCTAATTGTAATAAAAAAATTAATTTTTGCTATATTTTAGAATATCTTTAAATTCATTATAAAAAAAAAAAAACTACAATGAAAAAAGCAAGTCAGCTATATATCGATTTGTTGTACTCCTCAAATCACATTCACAATTTGGCTACAAGGAAAAGAAACTCATAGATTAAAATATTATTTTGTTAGTAGTCTTAATGTACAAGAGACTTTAAGACTCCACTAATATTATAAAACTTTTATTGAACATTGTACAATTTTCTTGCGTATTATAAACTTTTATTGAATATTGCATCTTCTAATACAATATTCTCCAAATAAATATATCTCGTGCTTCGCACGAGTCACGTACTATTCGTATATTTTTCTTTATTCATGTATATAATTATAAGTCTGGATAAATAATTTTAAAATTGTGCGCCCCGTACATTACACGAACTCTGTACTAGTAATAAAAATAGGAGGGAGTAAGAATTATCGACAATAAATGGCTAAGCGTATCTTAGGTCAGCAAATAATAATGTCCAAGACCCAAGTAAGCGCTTTCCGAAAGATGGTACAGTTCCATTGCGTTAAATTCGAAAAGTAACTATTCTGTTGCAATTTTCACTATTATTTAATCAAAGCTCATTTCCAGCTGTTGGGTAGATGGCCAAAAATTCACTATTATTCTGTTGGGTTCGTATTACTGGAACAGGTTTTGTTAAATGGCAACCACTTTGATTTAAAAGAGATCCAATTTTATTAATGTCATATAACTTGTTAGTAAAAAGAATAAAAAAAAAAAAAGAAAAAAAGTAATGCCATGTAGTAACAATTTATTTAACCTCAACAAAATCCTGGATGAATTGGAGGGAATACTTAAAACAGTGTGCTCGGATGTGACATCAATAAGTAATTAGTCAGGTAAATTAAATATGTTTGAGTTTTAATTTTTTTTGTTCTCTTTAATTTTTTTTAGTTGTGTTGATGTTAATTAATAATGATCAGTTAGCCACTCTACATTTATTGTTAATAATTGTCCGTTCAACTTTAATCATATAACGCAAGTGGCTCAGATTTCATAACATAGTATACATCGAGAGAGGCTAACCAAGTTTTGAATTTGAATTTTCCTATATATTTACCCTCGAACTTAGATTATATTTAAGTTTTCTTTATTACGTATTGGATTAAATTACACACTTCTATAGCAGTAAGACTACTTTTATTTTTCTCCCCAGCAAGTTAATTATAAACCGAGTCAAACAACTCAGCCATCAGAAAACCTAGTCCAAACCAACATATATCTATTATCCAATAAAATTATTGTCACATATATTTTCTGACAACACAGGAATTAATACATATCAAACTATAGCCTGTTGGGAAATTAGCTGCTAGAACACTAGGTTAGATATGCATGCTATGCGTTAATGTGTTTATCCTTGTTGTTCTGAGCCTGTGGTTATTTTTTCATTGTTAGTAGCATTAAATTCTGTATTTTTTGCTGCTTTGATTGCTTAATCTCGGTAAAATTTGCTGGGTGCTGTTTTTCTCTATTTTTTGGGGTCTGTGTGCCTCATTTGTGCTGCTGAGTGTTTAATTAATTTTCCTGTGATTTTTTGTCAAGTTGCTGCTGTTCATGGTGACTGAAATGTGTGAAATGCATGCTGATGTGAATTCTATGCATTCTTATTTGTGTGAAAATGAATGGCTAGTTGATTCCGGTTGCACTTTTCACATGTCTCCATTTAGAAATTTGTTTTCTAACTACAAAGAGGTTAAAAATGGCTCTGTTTCTATGGCAAATGAGAAACTTTGTGATGTTGTTGGTATTGGTGATGTGTGCCTTAAGTTTGATTCCGGTTATGTGCTTTGTTTGAAAAATGTTCGTCATGTTCCCGACTTGTGCCATAACTTGATATCTTGTGCTGCCCTTGAGGATGACGGGTTAGAGGGTAAATGGGGTAGAGGGGTTATGAAAATCATGAAAGGTTCATTGGTTATTTTCAAAGCTGAAAAAAAGAAAAACTTGTATGTTTGTACTGCTACTTGTGAATCACATGCTGAAATTTCTGTGGATGCTGTTCATGAGGACCAAACTGATATTTGGCATAGACGTTTAGGTCATATGAGTAGTCGTGGTCTTGAAATTTTGCATAAAGCGGGTTGTTTTGGTAAAGATAAATTATCTTGTGTGCCGTTTTGTGATTCTTGTGTACTTGGCAAGCAACAACGTGTTAAATTTCCTGTTTCACCTTCCCCTAAACCCTCTATGTGTTCGGGAATTCTTGAATATTTTCATGCCGATGTTTGGGGTCCCGCTAGTGTTCCGACACATGGCGGGAGGAGGTATTTTCTATCTGTGATTGATAATTTTTCTAGGAAGGTCTTTGTGTTCCTTTTGAAAAATAAGTCTGATGTGTTTGAAACGTTTAAGACTTGAAAAATCTTGATTGAAAACCAAACCGGTAAAAAGATAAAAATTCTTAGGACTGATAATGGGCTTGAATTTTGCAATAATTTGTTTGATGAATTATGTGCTCAATCCGGTATTCAAAGGCATAAAACCGTGCCTTACACCCCTAAACAAAACGGTGTTGCTGAGCGGATGAATAGAACTTTACTTGAAAGGGTGAGGTGTATGTTGTCTAGCTCGGGTCTTTCAAAAAAGTTCTAGGGTGAGGCCGTTTTAACTGCTGCATATTTGATAAATAGGTCGCCCTCTGTGCCTTTAAATGGTAAGTGTCCTGAGTTTGTTTGGTCTGGAAAAGAAATTGATTTTTCAAACCTGCGTGTTTTCGGTTGTGCTGCATTTTGTCACATGAAACTTGATAAACTTGAACCTCGTTCAATGAAATGTGTTTTCTTAGGATATCCTGAAGGTGTTAAAGGTTATAGATTGTGGCTTAGAAGTGTACCCGGCTTTAAGGTCGCGATAAGTCGTGATGTTGTGTTCAATGAATCTGAAATGCCATGTTTAAATGCTTCTTTGCCTGCTCCTTTGCCTGATGAATATGAAAATGCTCCAAATGCGGTGGAGCAATTGCCCGGTTTAAGTGATTCCAATAATTCTGAAAATTTGCATGCGGAAATTGAAACCGAACGTGCTGTGCTTGATAATCAGCCAGCTGAAATTGCTGAAATTGAAGCTGTGCGTGCTGAAACTAAAAATCAGCATGCTGAAAATGCTGAAAATATTGATGTGCATGATGAATATGTGGAAAATGTGCCTGAAAATGATGTTGATTTGCATGATTATCAACTTGCTAGAGATAGGACTAGAAGGGAACGTAAGAAACCTTCTAAGTTTGATGATTTTCACATGACTTCATATGCTTTTGGTGTTTTCGAGTCTATTGATAATTGTGAGCCTAAGTCTTATAAGGAAGCCCTAAAATCTGTTAACTCTGTGCAATGGATGAATGCTATGCGTGAAGAAATTAATTCGTTGCATGTGAATCATACTTGGTCTCTTGTTCCTAAACCTGATAAATGTTCCTTAGTGGATTGCAAATGGTTGTATAAGGTTAAACAAGAAAATGATTCTGTTAGATTTAAGGCTAGACTCGTGGCAAAAGGGTTTACTCAACGTGAAGGTATTGATTATACCGAGATTTTTTCACCTGTTGTTAAGTTCACCACTGTGCGCATCATGCTTGCATTAGTTGCTCATTTTGATTGGAAATTGAAGCAAATGGATGTTAAAACTGCTTTTTTGCATGGTGAATTGGATGAGAAAATTTACATGAAACAACCTGTTGGATTTGTGGATGCTAAGAAATTTGATTATGTGTGTTTGTTAAAGAAATCTTTATATGGTTTGAAAACAATCTCCTAGGCAATGGAACAAGAAGTTTGATACGTTCATGCTTTCTTTAAAGTTTAAGAGGAGTTCTTATGATCATTGTTTGTACTTTAAAGAAGATGCTAATGTTCCTGTTTTTCTGCTGATTTATGTGGATGATATGTTGCTGATCGGTCCGTGTATTAAGTTAATTGAGCATGTTCAAAAATGTCTAAGTGATAATTTTGATATGAAAAACCTTGGGGATGCTAAAAGGATTCTTGGAATGAACATTATTCGTGATAGGAAAAATTCTGTGATTTTTCTTAATCAAACTTCTTATGTGGAGAAGATTTTGAGTAAATTTTCTATGTCGTCCGCTAAGTCCGTGAATGTCCCACTTGCTGCCCATTTTGTTTTAAGTAAGGATCAGTCTCCTAAGACCGATTCTGAAATTGATTTGATGAAGAATGTGCCGTATTCAAATGCAATTGGTTCTGTGATGTATCTCATGGTTAGTACTAGGCCGGATATTGCATATGCTGTTAGTTGTTTGAGTAGGTACATGTCTAATCCGGGTATGCCTCATTGGGAAGCTCTTAAGTGGTTGTTGCATTATTTGAATAGTTCTATGCATGTTGGGCTGAAATTTTCTAAGTGTTCTGAGGGTGTTAAACTTGTTGGCTATGTTGATTCTAATTATGCTAATGATAGAGATAACAGAAAATCAACAACTTCCTATGTCTTCACTTTGTGTGGTTCTTGTGTAAGTTGGAAATCACAACTACAACATATTGTTGCTTTGTCTACGACCGAATCTGAATATGTGGCTGTTACTGAAGCCTTGAAAGAGGCTGTTTGGTTAAAGGGTCTCTTGTGTGAAATCGGCTTGTTTGAAAAAGATGTTGTTGTGTTTTCCCATAGCCAATCTGGGATTCAATTGTGGAAAAATCCTGTTTTTCATGATCGAACTAAGCATATAGACGTTAGATTTCATTCATACGTGATATTGTTTCTAAAGGCTTAGTTAATCTTGAAAAAATTGCATCCGAGTTTAACCCCGCTGATATGGGAACTAAGTATTTGCCTGTTGAAAAATTCAGGTCATGCATGAGAACATTGAACTTTGACTGTGGTGATTGAGTGCAGGTATTGTAAGGCGATGATGAAAGTCCTCCGGTCCCTCAAGGTGTTCGGTATTCGGTGGTTGGCCAAATCGGTGGAGAAATGTTGGAAATTTGGCCCAAGATCTCAGGCCCAAGGAAGCCCCAGCCCAACCCCGTCTGGGCCTGGCCCTCACTTACCCGAATTAATCCATACCGTTGGATTAAGGGATTAAATCCCAACCACTCACTCACACCATAAAAACCTATCTCTATCTCTCCGCCTACACATAGAACAGATTTAATACTCTCTGCTCTCTTGTTCTTCTCGCTGTGACTGAACCTATCTCTCTGTCTGTGAGAACAAAAAGGATCGCTATCTCCATCTGTCTCTTAATCTCTTCGTGACCTTTAGAGTGTGTGAGACGCGAGTGTTACCGTGAGTGCCGTCGGAGTGCTGCCGTCTAGCCGCCTCTGTGCCGTCGCCGTCGCCCTGCTTCCCCTTGCCGGTCCAGCCCTTGTGTGGTGCTTTCCGGCAAGCTGTTGTGAGGAGGAGGCTCTGCGACGAGTGACCAGGTGCGGGGCTCGGGAGTGGGGTGCAGCCCGGGGAACGGGCCGAGGAACCGGGGCTGCCATACGTTGACCACCACCGAGCCGCTACTTGCCGAGGGTGCCGGGCTCAAGGGCTATCTGAGCCGGGAGAGCCGACTTCGTGTCCCTCTCCTTCAAATCGTTCGATTAAAGGGAGTATTTCGTTCATTCTCTTTTATTTCGATTTTCAGCCTTTATCATCTTTGTACTTAGTGTATTATCTATTCGATTATTGTTGTTCGTTAGAACTTAATCGTGTATTTGATCGTAGGCTGAAACGGGCCACTAAAGAAAGTGCTAGGACCAGCCCGGGACTGACAGAGGGCTGTCCGGGAGTCTACTGTAGACGTGCAGCACCTGTAGAGGTCGAGAGGGCTTGCTAGTGGGTCGGTCGAGCTCAAGAGAAGCTTCCGCTGCCAATGAGTCGAGCGGTTGAGTCGGGACGGCCACATAACATAGCCAATAGTTTCATGCATGATATGAATGAATATGATCACAGGCATGCACTTGTCAAATAATATATGAAAAGAATAATGTAGAAAATGTAAGTTACACACAAATGCACACTCATTTACACAAATAAATAACTTTTAGTTGGTTCATTTTTAATGTTGCCAGCATAAATGAGCCCCTTGTTATGAATTTATGACGGGGCAGAACACACAACACAAAAACGCAGGCTGGCTTTTTTAGGTGACAAATATATTAATTGATTTGCTCATATGAGGTGAAAAGAAATTTGATAGTAAAAAGCAAGAACTATGTGGCATGCATTAATTTCGTCTCCAACGGCCCCAATTCATTTCCACCGATAAATGCCATTTTTACCAGTTGGGATTTATGTGACATTAAAGATATATCAGTTTGGAATACAGAAACATAAATGGGACAAAAGATTAGATCATCAACCTTCTCTAAAACTATATATAGTATTTAACATATCACAAACTAGAAAACTCAAAAATAACTATAAAATTAATCTTACAGCTCCTTTGGTCACATTGAATTATCACGAAAAAAAATAAATTAATTTCTAAAATGCACGTCTTCATAACAATCGGACGGTTATTGCAGATCGTTGATCGAACTACAAAATCTTTAGCGATTAAATAACGAAGTTTTTGCATGCGAATCATCCCCATAATCTTCATTCTCTAATTTTTTGTTGATTCAAAAGCTTTACCAATAGTTGAGAATTTGAGATATACGGTTGGATTCTTCAAAAATTATGTTTAGTAAAAAGTTTGTTAAGATCCAACAATTAAATCTTGGATTAATACATGAAACTTAATTAGGCAAACAATAGGGAAATTAATAAATATTAATTTAATGGGATGAAAATGCTAAGTGAAATATTTAAAACAAATACCTCATAGTTTACGTTGCCCAATTTGGCAATTATTACCTACTTGTTAGTTGTTACAGTTGTTTGTACCATATTACACTTAACCCCTTTAATTAATGCAACTCAACCGATCACCATATATTTTTTGTTTCCAATTTCCCTCCAATATTTTAAATTATATGACAATATTATTAACTGCGTATTTGTGTGTGTATATGTATGATATGTAAGTGTGCCTTTTATGTGTGTGTGAGTGTGCAGAAGATGGTAGTTGTAAGTCATTTATATGCTTCGTCTTATAGTTCTTACAAACACAAAGAACGAGGCCAATCTTCACAGAAAGTCGCATCAATTATAATAAAAGAGAGAGAGAGAGAGAGAGAGAGAGAGAGATTTTGAACTAGGTAGCTAAGTGTGTGTAGTGCGTGTTTTTTTCTTGATTAATTTTCTCTCTAAATGGCTCAGCTGGTTATTGGTTATGGCGGCTCAGCTTTCTGCTATTTGTATGCATTTGTATGGATCTCCATTCATCTCCTCGCTGCCTCTCAAGGTTTTACCTCGCAATCTCTTCCCACATTTTTTTTATTTTATATTGTNATTTTATTATTACTATTACTACTACTATTAATTCATTAATTATCATTATTTTAGCAAGACTAATTACTATTTCCCCAACAAGGAGTACTTGTGTTTTTTTTTGGCATTACACATATATGTTTAACCTTTTCCGATTATTTTCTGCATTTTATTATTTTTTTTCTAAAATTCATGTGTATAATATAATGTTTAATTTCTTCATTCAAAACTGAGTTTCCTTTAATAGTAATAACAAATGTTATATATTTCGTTCTCATGATATTCTCGTAAATAATAGTGGATATAGTTCATAATAAGTTGTGCAAAACCGTACAATTACTTTCTTCTTGGACCTGTTTTGTAATTAAGCTAAACCACCGGGGTAATTTCCACAATTATCTGAAAAAAAAAACCCATGGAATCGCAGGCGCGCAGGACGAATCGTCATCCCACCGGGCCGAATACCGCTACCCGTTCGTCAGGCCCGCCAGCTCGTTCTCGCCCCCGTCGTCCTCCGCCGCCGCGTCCCACGGCGGAGAATCGTCCTACGACTACATAATAGTGGGCGGGGGGACGGCGGGTTGCCCTCTCGCGGCCACGCTGTCGAGGAACTACACCGTCCTGCTGCTGGAGAGGGGCGGGGCCCCGTTCGCGAACCCGAACGTGACGTTCATGGAGAACTTCCACATCTCGCTGGCCGACATCTCGCCGACGTCGGCGTCGCAGATGTTCATCTCCACCGACGGCGTCTTCAATTCGAGGGCTAGGGTTCTCGGCGGAGGGACCTGCATCAATGCGGGGTTTTACTCCCGGGCAAGCGCGAGGTACAACACCCCCAATGCTATTGATGTTTCAGTTGATCACTAAATCTACCCTGATGTTTAGCCTAATTACAAACTGTTGGTGATTATAAAGCATAACTAGTGCGTGGTTCGTGCGATGCACGGGAAAACAATATTTTTATTGTATTATAAATTGAATAAATAAATAACATTAATCATGATTTATCCATTATTTTTAAATTAAACCGGGGTTGGACACAGTTTGACCGGATGGACCGAGAACCGGTTTATAACCAGTCTAGTGCGCTTGAATAAAATATTTGCTATCGAATCTTTCAACACCAGTCTGTTGGATTGGTAGGATCGATACGATTTTCTAAACAAATTTTGTTACATTAAAAATAATTATAAATAAAATTACATATTTAAATAAAATAGATATTTATAAATTGTTTATTAATTAATTTAAACATTTGAATTTATAAATAGTTTAGATATTTAAGTAACACTTTTTATTTAAATTAATTATAAAAAGTACTAAATATATATATATATATATATATATATATAAGTATTATGTATTAAAATTTGAACAACCACAAATGATTTAATAAAATAACTTGATCGTTTCGATGACGGTCCGGTTCTGAAAACCTTATATTTACCGTATATTAATAAAAAAAATATAATAAAATAATTATTTTGTTCACATAAATAATAGTAAAATGATATATAAATATTCATTAATCATTAATCATGTTGTCATAAAAGTATTGTTAATATGATTATTTAAAATTTGGACTACATCACATTCACGTAATAAAGTATTTTCAATATTAAAATTTATATTTAGGTTCAATAATCTGTTTGGTCTGGTCAAACTGATACATAACTGGGACCAGAAGTTGTTTCAAAGTTTTTTGACTATTTTAAATATCACCTAAAAGTAATTCAATCAACGTGGGCAATACCCTAATTCAATCACCCGATTAATCCAAAGTAATTTCCTTATTTTCTTTAGACATAATATTTAATTTTATGAAATAAAAAATTTTTATGATTCATATGTCTACACCAAATAATAATATATTAAGATTGTAAATTATATATCTAAAGATGAATTATTTATTTTTATTTTATGCATATTAATAAAAAATAAACATAGTAATTTAAAAAAAAAAATCAAGATTAATTGATTAGTATGCAATTTAAAGAATATTTTTAACATGATTGAATTTTTGGCTTAGAATATATATATTTAAAATGATTTTATTATTAAAAGTCAAAAAGAAAAGATGCCATAAAGATTACAACTTTGAAAAGTTTCTAAACATTAATTTAACTTTGAAAAGTATGTAAACATTAATTTAGGAACCATCCGATTTTAAATGATTTTATAATTTTTGAAAGCATCTAAAACCCATTAATTTAGGAACCATCTAATTTTTTGATAATGAATTAAAATTAAAATGTAAAATAAAGAAATTGCTGAAAATAGTATATAATAAATGTGGTTTGACTTTTCTTACTACTATTTATGGTAAATGTTAATTCTTATTATATATATATATAGATTATAAACCGCTGCTAATCATAATTATCTAAAGCTTTATGTCTTGCTATTATTTCACTAAGATTACTCTTGGACAGATCTAAATGTTAAATTGTTGTATTTTTTTCAATAGATTTTGCATACTTTAAATTGAAATGTTGTAATCTAAAATACGAAATCAACAAAAATATGACATTTCTTATGTTAAGTATGCATTTTTTCTTAAAAAAGAGTATGATAAGAATTTGAGAAGTTATTTTTTTTTCCCTATCATATACTACATATTTTATTTAATCTATTTAGTATATTTCACTTATATGTCCAAAGAATGCATAGTGAACTATATATAATTACTGGAATTAAATAACTGATACTATACATTCGTTAGTTCAAATTAAGCAGGTGAGTGAGATAATATTTGTTCAAGATCTTGTGTGTAATAAATATATTTATAGATGCATACATTATTAATTCAAGGAGGCGCCATAGCTGGCTCCATAGAATTTTTAAATATTATCTTTTAAATATCAAACCAGCAAATATATTAATGTCTAAACCAGCAATGCCATTATCCAAATTTTTTACTCCTTTTTGGATATCATTCTTGTTGGATTCTATCTTCTATTACTAAAATAAAGAAAGAAAAAAGTTCATACCGCAGAAAAGCAATCTAGACAATTTATAGTTCCAATCAAGTTATCATCACACAACCCTCCTAGGATTTGTTGCATTTGTTATGATTCTTATAACTTATCTAGTCACTATATTGGCACTTTCGGGGACAATTAACATTCTTATTACTTATACATGAACAGATGCTAAAGTTATGTATGAGGAAAAAGCAATTACTCAAGAATTTAATATAAAACAGGACCATCTAGAAGACATTTTCTTATGATCTGATAGATATATGTGAAAAATGAAAATGTTATTCTTATGAAAGACTTCTCTTGGCTAAAATAGTTTCCTTCTTTTGTCATAGCTGTAGATAAATTGTTGATCTTTTCCATTATGATGGCCCGGTTCAGCTTGTCAACCCAAAACATTTATCAAAATGAATAAATTAGCTTAAACTCTAATAATTCATTTGTAGTTTCATCAAGAAAGTCGGCTGGGACGTTAAACTTGTGAACGAATCATACCCGTGGATTGAAAAGCAAATCGTGTTTCAACCACAGCCTTCGTTATGGCAAAAAGCCGTGAGGGATGGCCTGTTGGAAGCTGGGGTTTCGCCTTTCAATGGCTTCACTTACGATCACAAATATGGCACTAAAGTCGGAGGCACCATTTTCGACAGATTCGGCCGTCGCCACACGGCTGCCGAGCTTCTTGCCTCAGCCAATCCCGAGAAAATCGATGTCTTGGTGCATGCTACTGTTCAGAAAATCGAGTTTGACACCACTGGTATGTTTACCGAGCAAGTCTTGTTTATTTTTATTTTTTTCTAATTTGAGTGATTGCAATTTTTAGTCATGGTGATAAGAAGAGAGTAGGGCGAATTTCGTCCATATTTCAATATGTCTTGGCAAAATCACAATATTTTTTTTTAATAAAAAAAAAAAAAAAAACGCAATTTTTTTGGGCTAAGAGTAGGGTTTGTCCAAGCATTTTACTAGCTAAAGAATCAATAAGCCTCTAGTTGCTTTATGAAGAGCCCATTGCGGAAGATTTAAAAAAAATCTCATCCTTCTGTGTTTACATATGTGCAACGCATATGTGATTCTGTGGTTGTTTATTTAATTTGTATAAATGCACTATGTCCTCCAAATTTTTGTGATCTTCGAAGTAAACTTTGAAAATGCACATTTTTTTTTTTTCTGTCTAAACAATGTGAATCATTGCACTCACTCTCGTGAAAGTTGAATTTGCCAATTTTTGACGGGTCCAAGTAAGATTCCATTGGGGTTTAAGTGCAAAATGTTCAAAGCTGAGCTCCAATTTTAGTAGAAGAAGTGTAGTTCAGCCTGGCAAATACGATAATCTTTTTTGACTTCTCCAAACCAACAAAGTTCTCACAAATGCAGAATAATTGATTTTACCGAGCTGACATATTTTCAAATACTATCACACCCTCACTGAAGTTGCAATACGACACGACTTTTATCATATGATCCGAAAAATGATATATCGACACATCTTTTCTGTAACATTTTACTATTCCAATGACAGGGGAAAGGCCCAAAGCAACAGGTGTCATATTCAAAGATGAAAATGGGATGACACACAAGGCAACTCTTTCAAAGGGGCCCAAAAGCGAGATCATTGTCTCTAGTGGCGCCATTGGAAGCCCACAACTGCTCCTGCTGAGTGGGATAGGCCCAAAAGCTGAGCTCGAGAAGCTCAACATCTCTGTTGTTCTTGATAACGAGTTTGTGGGGAAAGATGTGGCCGACAATCCTCTGAACACAATTTATGTGCCGACAAATGGGCCCGTCGAGCAGTCGCTTATAGCCACTGTTGGGATCACTAAGAAGGGTGTTTATATTGAGGCGAGCAGTGGGTTTGGGCAGTCTTCGGATAGTATTCGTTGGGATCATGGTATTGCTTCGGCTGAGGTAATAAAACATGGTTATTATGTTCGGTTTTGATTTACATTGTAGTTGAATTTCTGATTGAGTCCTTGTGGTCATTTTGTTAGAAAAAATATATACCTGGTTTTTTTGCAAAAATATTCTTGAGATGGGCTTTTTTTTTTCAATCCCTAAATTCGCCGGAAATTTTGAAAATTTTCAGCTGTTTTGTCGTGATTTTTAAACCGGTGCAAAATAAATGAATATTTATGGACAAACAATGGATGTTTTTCACAACATATAGCCAACAACTACATGAATCGAAAATTGTAGTTATTTTATTTGGATTTTGTCAATGGTTCTGCTTTAACAGTTCACATGCAAAATATGCAGGTAATGTGATACAGTAAATCAGAATCTAACATAATTACCAAGTTTTATTACCTGAACAATGTTAAAAAGCTTTCAGCGAGATAGGACTAAATTCTAGAGTTTATTAGAACCCATAATGTTTAT